TTGGGGAATTTTGGGGTGAAATTGGGGGATTTTTTGGGAGTGGAAATTGGGGATTTTTGGGGTGAAATTGGGGAATTTTGGGGTGAAATTGGGGGGTTTCGGGGCTCTGGGCACCTCGAGGCAGCGGCTGACGTCGCGGATCTTCATGGCGTTGCGGATGGAGCGGATCAGGTTGGTGAGCTCCTCGTACCTGGCATCGATCGGGATCAATCGGGGGCGATCGGCACCGATCGGGATTGATCGGGGTCGATTTGGGCCGACTGGGACCAATAGGGATCAATAACTGATCAACAGCGGATCAATATCAGATCAATAGTGGATCAATAACCCATCAATATCAGATCAGTAGTGAATCAATAACCGATCAATATCAGATCAATACGGGATCAATAAGGAACCAACAACTGATCAATAACTGCTCAAAAAGGGCTCAATAAGGAACCAATACCAAATCAATAATTAATCAATAACCAATCAGCACCGGATCAATAACTGCTCAACAAGGGCTCAATAAGGAACCAATACCCAATCAATAGCTGATCAATAGCCAATCAGTAACTGATCAACAAGGGATCAAGAACTGATCAATAATGACCAATAAGAACTCAATAAGGAACCGGTACCCGATCAATACCTGATCAACATCTGATCAGTACCAGATCAATAACCACTCAATAAGGGCTCAATAAGGAACCGATACCGAATCCATACCAAATCAATACGGGATCAATAACTGATCACTACAAGATCAATGCCGGATAAATGCTGGATCAATACCAATCAATATGGGCTCAATAAGGAACCGGTACTGGATCAATACCCGATCAATACCAGATCAATAACCTATCAATATCGGTTCAATACTGGATCAATAACCGCTCAAGAAGAGCTTAATAAGGAACCTATACCTGATTGATACCCAATCAATACCATATTAATACCCGGGATCAATACTGGATCAATACCCAATCAATACTTGATCAATAATGGATCAATATGGGATCAATACCAGATCAATACAGGATCAATATGGGATCAATAGTGGATCAATACGGGATCAATAGCAGATCAATACAGGATCAATACCAGATCAATACCCGGGATCAATACTGGATATATAACCGATCAATACTGGATCAAGAACCGATCAATACAGAATCAATAGTGGATCAATACAGGATCAACACCGGATCAATACGGGACCAATCAATAGTGGATCAATACAGGATCAACACCGGATCAATACGGGACCAATACTGGATCAATAACCGATCAATACGAGATCAATAGTGCATCAATACAGGATCAACACCGGATCAATACGGGACCAATACTGGATCAATAACCGATCAATACAGAATCAATAGTGCATCAATACAGAATCAACACCGGATCAATACGGGACCAATACTGGATCAATAACCGATCGATACAGAATCAATAGTGGATCAATACAGGATCAACACCGGATCAATACGGGACCAATACTGGATCAATAACTGATCGATACAGAATCAATAGCAGATCAATACAGGATCAACACCGGATCAATACGGGACCAATACTGGATCAATAACCGATCAATACAGAATCAATAGTGCATCAATACGGGATCAACATCGGATCAATGCGGGACCAATACTGGCTCAACACCCAATCAATACGAGATCAATACCCGTTCAATATGGGATCAATGCCCGATCAATAGGGGATCAATACCGATCAATACGGATCAATAACCCCACCTCTTGTCGCGGGCGCTCCTCACCACGCGTTTCGTGTCCTCCTCATCCTCACTCAGCAGCAGCGGCCTGGGGGCGGGGCCAGGCCTCGGACACGCCCCTTTGCCTTGGCCACGCCCCCTTCCCCTTAACCCCCGCCCCTTTCCCTTTAGCCCCGCCCCCTTTGCCTTGGCCACGCCCCTTTACCTTAACGATGCCCCTTTCCTTTAGCCCCGCCCCTTTCCCTTAACCACGCCCCCTTTGCCTTGGCCACGCCCCTTTACATTAACCACGCCCCTTTCCTTTAGCCCCGCCCCCTTTGCATTGACCACGCCCCCTTCCCCTTAAACCCCGCCCCTTTCCCTTTAGCCTCGCCCCTTTCCCTTAACCACGCCCCCTTTGCCTTGGCCACGCCCCTTTACCTTAACCCCGCCCCTTTCCTTTAGCCCTGCCCCTTTCCCTTAACCACGCCCCTTTCCTTTAGCCCCGCCCCTCTCCTTTTAGCCCCGCCTCTTTTCCTTAACCACGCCCCCTTTGCCTTGGCCACGCCCCTTTACCTTAACCCCGCCCATTTCCTTTTAGCCCCGCCCCTTCCCCTTAAACCCCTCTCCTTCCACTTAAACTCCGCCCCCTTTCATTTAAGCCCCGCCCCTTTCCTTTTACCCCGCCTCTTTCCCTTTAACCCCGCCCCTTCCCCACCCTTTTCCCTTTAGCCCCGCCCCTTTCATTTAAGCCCCGCCCATTTTATTTAACCCCATCCCTTTTGCTAAACCACGCCCCTTTTCTCCTTAAACCACTCCCCTTTAAACCCAACCCCTTTTTTGAATAACTCCACCCCTTTCCCCTAGCCACGCCCCCTTTCCCTTTACTCCAGCTTCCTTCCCTTTAACCCCGCCCCTTTTTCTTTAACTCCGCCCCTTTCCCTTTAGCCACGCCCCTTTACCAGGAATACTTTCCTCCTTAACCCCGCCCATTTCCCTTTAACCACACACCTTTTTCCTTTAACCCCGCCCCCTTTCCATTAGCCCCGCCCCTTTCCTCTTTAACCCCGCCCCTTTCCCCCTAGCCCCACCCCTTTCCATTTAACACCTCCCTTTCCTTTTAAACCACGCCCCATTTCCTTTAGCTCCACCCATTTCCCCTTTAACCCCACCCCTTTCCCTTTAACCCCGCCCTTTTTGCATCTAACCCCGCCCCTTTCCCTTTAGACCCGCCCCTTTCCCTTTAGCCCCGCCCCTTTCCCTTTAGCCCCGCCCCTTTCTCATTAGCCCCACCCCTTTTACCCGTTAGTCCCGCCCCTTTCCCGCTAAACCAACCCCTTTCCATTTAACCACGCCCCTTTTCCGTTAGCCCCGCCCCTTTTACCCTTTAACCACGCCCCTTTCCATTTAACCCCGCCCCTTCTCCTTAACCACGCCCCTTTCTCATAAGACACGCCCCTTCCCCTTTAACCCCGCCCATTTCCCCTTTAGCCCCGCCCCTTTCCCCTTAGCCCCACCTCTTTCCTTTAACCACCTTTTCCTTAGCCCCACCCCTTCCCCTTTAGCCCCGCCTCTTTTCATGTCCCGCCCATTCTCCTTTAGCCCCGCCCCTTCTCCTTTAGCCCCGCCCCTTCCCCTTTAGCCCCGCCCACTTGCTGTAGGGCCCCCCGGGCGCTTTGGGCGCGGTTTCGTCTCCGGACGCCGACGATTCCGACTCGGAGTCGGAGCCGGTGGTGAAGAATCGCGACATGGCGGCAGCAGCGGGGACGGCCTGGGGGACACGGGCGGATTTCGGCGATTCCACCCCAAATTTGGGAATCGCCACCCCGAATTTGGGAATCACCACCCCAAATTTGGGCTTCTTCACCCCAAATTTGGGCTTCTTCACCCCGAATTTGGGAATCGCCACCCCGAATTTGGGAATCACCACCCCAAATTTGGGTATCACCACCCCAAATTTGGGCTTCTTCACCCCGAATTTGGGAATCAGCACAACAAATTTGGGGATCACCACCCCAAATTTGGGAATCAGCACCCCGAATTTCGTAATCGCCACCCCGAATTTGTGAATCAGCACCCTAAATTTGGGCTTCTTCACCCCAAATTTGGGAATCACCACCCCGAATTTGGGAATCACCACCCCGAATTTGGGAATCGCCACCCCGAATTTGGGTGTCACCACCCCGAATTTGGGTGTCACCAACCCAAATTTACTCATTTTCACCCCAAATTTGGGAATCACCACCCCGAATTTGGGAATCACCACCCCGAATTTGGGGATCACCACCCCGAATTTGGGAATCACCACCCCGAATTTGGGGATCACCACCCCAAATTTGGGAATCGCCACCCCAAATTTGGGAATCACCACCCCAAATTTGGGAATCACCACCCCGAATTTGGGGATCACCACCCCGAATTTGGGAATCGCCACCCCGAATTTGGGAATCGCCACCCCGAATTTGGGAATCGCCACCCCGAATTTGGGGATCTCCACCCTGAATTTGGTTATCACCACCTCGAATTTGGGAATCACCACCCCAAATTTGGGCTTCTTCACCCCAAATTTGGGAATCACCACCCCAAATTTGGGCATTTCCACCCCGAATTTGGGAATCGCCACCCCGAATTTGGGAATCGCCACCCCGAATTTGGGAATCACCACCCCGAATTTGGGAATTGCCACCCCGAATTTGGGAATTGCCACCCCAAATTCCGGCATTTCTACCCCAAATCCTCACTTTTCTACCCCAAATTTACTCATTTTCATCCCAAATTTGGGAATCACCACCCCAAATTTGGGAAACATCACCCCAAATTTCAGCAATTTCTACCCCAAATTTTGGTACCACCACCCCAAATTTGGGACTCACCACCACAAATTTGGGTATTCCCACCCCAAATTTTCCCATTTTCACCCCAAATTTGGGAATTTCAACCCCAAATTCCCGTGTTTCTACCCAAAATTCCCGCATTTCCACCCCAAATTTGGGCATTTTCACCCCAATTTCCTGCGTTTCCACCCCAAATTTACTCATTTCCACCCCAAATTTGGGAACTTCAACGCCAAATCTGGGCATTTTTAACCCAAATTCCCTCATTTCTACCCAAAATTCCCCCATTTCTACCCCAAATTTTGAAGTTTCCACCCCAAATTCCCACATTTCTACCCAAATTTCCCACGTTTTTACCCCGAATTTCTGAATTTCACCCCAAATTTCTGCGGTTCCCCCCAAATTCCCGCCTTTCTACCCCAAATTTGTGTTTTTTTCACCCCAAATTCCAACATTTCTACCCCAAATTTGGACGGTTTTACCCCAAATTCCCAAATTTCTACCCAAATTTTCCTCGTTTTCACCCCAAATTTCCTCATTTTCACCCCAAATTTGGGCACTTCATCACCCAAAATCAGAAGAGTTTGACCCAAAACCGGAAGAATTTAAACAAAAATCGAAGAAATCTAACCCAAAACCGGAGGAATTTGACCCCAAATTTGAGGAATTTACCCCAAAACCGAATAAAAATTGACCCAAAACCGGAGGAATTTAACCCAAAACCGCAGGAAGTTGACCCAAAACCGGACGAATTTAACCCAAAACGGAATAAAAACTGACCCAAAACCGAAGAAATTTAACACAAAACGGGACGAATTTGACCCAAATTTCGCCCCAAAACCTTCAAATCTCAGCCCCAAAACCCCCAAATTTCGCCCCAAACCCATCTCCTCCCCCTCCCCCCCCCCCCCCCGCCGA